GCACAATCAGCAACCCCACCTTGGAGGATTCGTCATTGCCAACTAGCATTCGCGTTACTTGTAAGGTGTAATTGTTGACGAACATGTAACACTCCAAGCTTTGAACATGTGCTTAATCACTACCCGTGGACAGCTACAAAAGTGGCGGCCAACTTTTGATACTCACAGCTGCTGTCAGCAACACTCCGCAAACTTGGCGCTTCCAGGGTTCAGACTGCCCAGGCTGGAAGGCCCTCTTGCAGATTCACCTGCGCTGTGACAGGGCCATGGAATCCTCTGGTGGCCTCTCTAAAAACTCACCTCTCAGTTTGAACTATCGTATGTATCTAGACTATCCTGTGCGCCTAGGTGTTCGTGAGGAAGGGACTTAACACCCAACACGGTTCTCAGTGGAAAGAATTACACTAAGAATGCTGATGGTACTATTTTGTAAGACCAGGAACAACACGTAAATATGAAGTGCAGGAAAAACACAAAAGACTGCACGAAAACATGATGAGGAGGATTCTGAGGAAGTGACCAAGATGATGATGAAGATGAGAAATGATGATGGCGGTGGTGATGATGATTATGACTGACAACGAAAACAAGCATGATGATGCAATTTGCATGCAACACGTGCAAAAAGTAGAGCGAAGCGACATCACCAGAGACTCGCATCCACTTAATCTCGTGGCGCAGGGAGGGCCCACAGGTAGAAGACCTCGGAGAAACCAGAGTGGGGAAGAAATGAAAATAGAACCGACGCAGTCAGGCCGCCCCAGGAAACTGATGTCAGTCAGTGTAACCTAGGTCCTCGTTCGGGGGTGGTTCCAGGCTGCTGAGACAGGACATCTTGAAGGCCACACGTGTCCATGCCATCGTCAATGGGCGATGATTCATTTGATGTGGCGCTCACAGCAGCGCGCAGGAGCGGCTGATGCCATCCAGCTCATAAGGGTCTTTCGAGACAGTGGAGTGGACCTGCACCTGTAGGTCCACGGCCATCTTCAGACTGAAGAGCGTGGAGAAAGAAAGAACGATGATGACGATGGTTGGACAGCTGAAGTTTGCAGCCATTCTTTGACAAAAAACCCTTCGCAGGTGCTTTCCGGAAAAAGAACAGGTCGAGAAAGAAACAACAAATAAAAGGAGTACTCTCGCAGTAGCGGCGTGCAAGTCCCAACCCCATACAAACCCTCTGCCTCTCTGCCTTCTGCTTGCAGTTTGCTCGGCAAATATATTGTCTTCTTATTCAATTAGATTCTTATTGTTACTAGTAGTAAGGCACTTGTTTCTAATAGCTAACCTTGTTACTACTAGTAAGGCACTTGTTAGTAGTAGCGATGCACTTGTTCCTAGTAGCTTCCAAAGGAATTCTTCTTATTCTTTTGTTTGTTCAGACCTGTCGACCTTTCTTGGCCTTTTCGAACCACTTACACGCTACTAGGAGCAAGGAATGGCATCCGTTTAAACATCACTCTGCCTCTATGATCGCACGCTGTTCAGTGGTGGTGGGCACTGCGGTGGTTGTGATGGGCACAGGCCTGATCTAGGGATGGCACTCAACTGCTTCTTTTCACAACTTCCTGTTACTGAAAGAAACCAAGACAAAATGGAGAGATGCCTTTTGTATCCTTTTGTGTTTTTGGACACCAACTGAACAAAGAAACAATTTGCAATTTGCATCTCGTGATCTTTTCAAAGGAAATCCAACAAGAATGCTTTGTTTGCGTTTGAATGTCTCCGACGGGGCGTGGCACGATGAAGGGCGGTGCCAGAGTTGGTCAACTCCCTCGGATCAAAGTCCTTCCCAAAAGGTCCTAAAACACCCAAAATCTCCGCTTTCGTTGGATTCCAAATCCAGGGACACAGAACGGTGCGTCAAGCATGGTCATACCCACCATTTGCATTTGAGTGAACCTATTCATCACACCAGCTCGTCACGCTGAGCGTCCCTGCGGCAGATATAGCGTTGTGCCTGGCAGCTGGTTGGAATACGTCAAAAAACAAACAAGGCGGCAAGCCTTTTTAGTTCCGAACAATCTAGGTAGAAAAGATGCCCCAAACAGGGCATTAAAAGGCAATCCGCAGAGTTTGAGGTTTCCAAACGTGACATTGCTGCGAAGAGCTTCGCCGATGAGGAGCATCTGAGGCGCAGTACATCTCAGTGGCCTCAAGTGGAACACCAAGTCTGCAAGGAATTTCTCAAATAAATAAAGTCCCGAAGCAATCTGCTTCTTATTCTATCCATACCTTGGAGGATAGGAGGATTTTCAATTTCTTCACTTTCAAACAACAGCATGGAATCCCACGAGATCCTCGGATAAAAGAGCCAATCAGGTGGAGTGTGTGCCAAAGCACCGCAAGTCGGGCAGGACGGTGAAGCACAATTCCTCCAGCTTGGCTTGCAAGGCCTGTCGGGATCGCCACAAACGAAGAACCCTGACAAGGACAGGAACTCAACTCATGATGGATCATCAGCCAAGCGTTTGTCTTTTGAATCTGAACTTTTTTGCACGTCCTCTTTCTCACCAACCTGAGGCTCGGATTAGACCATTCGGTACAAAGAAATGTGTGGGTGGACCATTTGCCATTTTCATTTTACTTGCCCCTACCAATTCTTCTATTGCCAAGTCTTTCGGGGTGTAGAAATTTTCCGTAGGATTGGGATAGTTCGGGTCTGCCACTCTGATCGATTCGCCCGACGCTTCGCACCGTCAGGATGGTGCTCTGCGAGGCGGTGGGGCTTGCGGCATAGAAGTTCAGCATATCCTCCGCCTCACCGAGAGAAGTCGAAAAGCCGAAGTATTTTTAGGTTGGAGGCCATCGCTACTAAAAGAAGAAAGTAAAGCAAGGAAAGAAGGAGAAAGGCCTAAAGGAGTCTAAAGGTCTCAAGGAAACCAAGAAAGAATAGAAAAACACGAGACAAGGAAGAAAGGAAGGGAGGAGGGAGGACAATGTAGAAAAACTGCAGTTCTTTCTGCAAGCTAATAGTCAAATAGCCTTTTGTAGAAAACGGATGAAGGCTGCAGCTGACACTCTAAATCGTGACTGATCACCACCAAACTCCAGACTGTCACCAACTAATTCAAAGAGAGCTGTGCATCTAACAACATGACAACATGGTCTCCTGCAATTCAGTGTGCAAAACATCAAGCAAGGATGGAAGAATGGTCATGCGAAGGATTGCGAAACCCCAGACACAAGTTCTCTCTGAGTCGTCATGTCTCGTGTTTCTCATGTCTGCACAGCTTTCACTCATGTGTCTCATGTCTGTCTTCTGCATGTCAGCCATGCACTTAGGCCTTCTGAAATAGGAAGTCATCCTCAATCTCCTCACCAAACGTCGAACACAAAAAGTGCCATCTATCTGAGACAAGGCCGTTGAGAAAAGGGCACAGTTCGTGGAACTAAACACTAAATTTTTTGGAAGAAGAACGCTACTGCTTGCAAGTAATGCGGGTGAACAGCTTTGACATGTGTAAGAGTGCCAATTGAAACGAAAACACTTCTAAATGCTCTGCGTGGTCACCATGCTACAACCAAATCTCATGCAACTCTGCGAACTAGTAGCATCCTTGCTCCTAGTAGCGATGCCCTTTGTTCCTAGTAGCGTCCTTGCTCCTAGTAAACAAGTAGACCTTTCTTCCTTTTCCTTTTTCTTTGTTTCTATTAGCGATGGCCTCCCAACCTAATAGCGATCATTCTCAACTCGATATGAAGGAAACTGAGGTCCGGACCAAGTTGAAGGGAATTTCCATTGCTACCTTGCTTGCTGAGTGGCCAAATCTCTCCAACCCCGCTTCTCCAAAGAGGGGGAAGGCCCGGACCAACACACCAAAACCGATTCATGGAAACAGTGAAGGGTAAAGAAGTACAAAACAAGTATCTAAATGGGAGTAGGCTGCATAGGTAGCTAGTACCTACCAGTAAGCTACGACATATGGACGCAGGATAGCTCTTTGAAAGCTCCTTCCTTGAAGCTATTCATTTGGTTCCTAGATCTTTAGGGACACTTAACTATGCTGTACATAACGCCCCGTTACCATTGACAAAAGCTACAGCAAAGAGAAGAAGAAAAGGACAAAAAACCTCCAGGAAAGGAGTGGATGGCAATAAAGACAGCTTCTTAAAGGAATGTTTCTTAAAGGATCAGTGCAGGAGCCCCTAGTAGCGTCCTTGCTCCTAGTAGCGATGCCAGGAGCCCCTAGTAGCTTCTTATTCGAAAGGCCAGGAGCCCCTAGCAAGCATTTTTTTGACCACGGCCCTACCGAGGGGTCTTCCGCCGGCGCACCAGATATGGGGATCGGCCTCAAATCCGGCCCTTGTGGAACAAACCACAGTCCGGGGACTGAGACTCCTGTATTGCTTTACAGGCAGGTCTCCGTTCGACATGAGCATCAGCACGAATATCACTGACCAGCGAAAAAACACATATGTTCCATGTGTCCCACAAAAAGGTGCCGAGCCCATACCTGAGATGGAGACCTTTTTCCTACTTGCTGCGATTGCCCTTTGCCTGGACAATGCTTCATGGGCCCCAGTGATTTAGTAGCAATCTGCACAACTGGGTGTCTCTCCAGAGACACCCTGATCCAACCCATCACTGCACCCCATGGCGAGCATGACGTGAGCACATGGAGCGGATGAATTCCTTGAAAATAACGATCCCCGGTGCTGTCCCTGGCAGAATGTGGCAACAACACCAGCAAACTACTCTTGTTGCCAAATACCTTCAAAGGCTTTAAACTCCTTGATGCACCTTCAAACACTATTTGTTATCATCTTACGAACAAGTTCAATCATCAAAATCCTAAGGTGGCTCTTCAAAGATTGAGGGCAGTTGGCCACAAAAGTGCGGTGGGCTTGCGACAAAGGAGTTGCGGGGCGTGGCCGGAGTGGCTTCCGGTCTTAAACTTCTGGAGCGAGCCAAACCCAAAGCCTTTCAGGCCTTTCGGGCCTTTCAGGCATTTCAAACAGATTTCTTGTTACTACTAGTAAGGCACTTGTTACTAGCTAAAGTTTTGCCTGAAATCGTTCGTGCACGAATTCTTTTGAAACGATATTTCGTAGATTCAATTTCAGCCTTTGAGAGTAACACGAGTGCTTCAATGGAAGATCGGGATGTCTTGTGATGCGACGACGCCATGTCTTTCCATGGTTTCTTTAAAATGATACACATGGTATCATGGTAAAACAAGATTTCTAGCTTCTTGTTACTACTAGTAAGGCACTTGTTCCTACTAGCGTG